AAAACTTGGGAACACAGACCAAAAAGCACGTGTTCTTTTTATTTACACAGGTATGTATTTTTACATTCATAATGTGTAAGACATACATTACAAATATTTGTACTATTATTTTCTAGATAAAAACACACTCAGTTTTTGATTCAATGTTCTTAAATTTTTCCAAAAGTAATATATTCAGATAAACGCAGCTTACTAATGTGACTCAACATACTTGAGTACGAACCAGTGAAGAAGTGATCTCAGTAGGAAAGGAAAAGTTGAAATGTTAAAAGCAACCTGAAACAGTTCTGGTGACAATGTACGATGTGCCATCTTCTTAAGTAAAATAATCATAAACATTTCCAATAATTTTGCATTTACTTGGAATTCACACACATAGTAACACACATAGTAGCAGATTAAGTTAAACCATCAAAAATGCTGCAGAGGAATACTGTATTTTCATGTAACTGAAAATACAGTTCTTATCAGAAGACTAAAATGAGCATGCATGTTGGGGGGCAGGAGAAGAAAGTGGAGAAGGAGAAAGTCTCAAGTATCCCCTCCCTAAACTGATCTTGTCAGAACCATCACAGACTGTGTTAAGCAGCCATTGGATAAGAGAAGAGGAAAAGATCAACCTAAAAGAAATAAAGACTGAATTCATCCCAAGTTCTACAATATCTTAAGCTTTGGCAGGGCAGGGTAGTTAACACAACTTAATGGTAATAACCATAACTTATGAAGTGCCTGCTAAGAACAGTGATGGAGAGCATGTTCCCTCTGAGCGCAAACAGGGATTAGCACAGAGCTGTGTCTCGCAAATACTCTTTTTCTGTGATGGTAGTGATGACAACCTCAGAAAACAATGTCTGCAGAACCGTTAATGTGTTGAACACAAATAAAAGATACAGATTTTTACTCCAGTGCGACAAAATAATAATTAAAAAACCCACCACCATCACTCACAAACCCAAATCTAAAAAACCAGAAGCCTTTAGAGACAAATGAGTGCCATAACATGCATTAGAAGCTATGTTTCAACAACTCTAATGGCACATTATCACTATATCAAGACATTCAATGTCTTGAATGCATTTGTTCCTCCTATCTTTGGTAGGAAATGAGACGGCTATCTTGCAAGAAGACTACAAACAACTGTGCATCTCCTGAACAGCAATGGCACTGTTAGCAAACCGAAATCTGTAGTTTGTTGTGGCCATTACAGGCTGAAGTGCTACAAACACAGGAACTCAACAGTTTTAAAAACTCAAGAAATCAGAATCTTTTCACCACTTAAACATGCACAGAGCCCAATATTCAGACTTCGTGGAACACTGACTGTGTTACACCTGAACAGATTGTTTAGCATGCTAAGTTCTTAAAAGACTGACTTTTAGCTTGTTTCTTCCTAATATTTTCCCCAAAGAGCCTATAAAGGACCACTTTCAAAGTATCCCAACCAGGCAAAATGCAGACAGAGAAGACAACAGTTCTACTGCCCAGAATTCTCTGAGAGTAACTAGGTGGGGAAGAGAGATCAAATAATCAAGGGAGGGAGGGAAACACTAATTGGGATATAGCTGTGACATTGTCTGTCGACAACTATCCTGTCTGTATTAAGAAATCAATCTTTCTACAGACATTGCAAATCCAAATCAAATCCAAACTACTCCTGAACTATTTGTGAAAACAAAGGACTGATAAAAATCAATACCAAAGAGAAAAGTAGCCTAAAGGCATAAGAATAAACATGAATAAAAAAGGGATTTTAAGAGAACTGTGTTTTAACAAAACGTTTTTGTATTATGAACTCAGAGCTTTCCATCACTAATCTACCTTCTATTTGTTACACTGTACCACTAAGATAACTTATGTACTATGACCCCTAAACACAACGTCCACATTCTGTTCAATTATAAAAATATAACTTAATAATGTATTTGATCAAAAGACAAAGACATGAGCTCAGATACCTATATTATTTTCCAAAGAAACTGAGTAAGATTTTTAGAAATGGGGCAGACTGACGAGTATTTTGTATAAAGGGGTTCATAACTCCAGCGCCCCCTTATCACAATACAAACGGTAATAAACAAATAGTAGTTGCCAATACATTAGCAGCATGAAGAGCTCTGCACTCAATTAGAATCAAATGCACGTGTCTGTACAGATGTACCCACTTATTTTGCTCAAGCAGTTTCTGCTTTTTAAATACAGTACTCTATACTATTGTGGGTTTTTAGAGGGCTCTTCGGACAAGCAGAAATATTATTTGTGCACTTCCCGATGGAAGTATTTGCAAAAAAGAAAAAATTAGTATGCTGATAAGAAATTATACATAGGTTAAATATAGCTTAGCTTTATTTTTAACAGAAATCAAGATTTCTATCACTTATAGCTTCCTCCTAAACTACATAGGCAATGATATTTAGTGTTTACAATAATTATATTTTCCTATATGTTTTATTCTGTTTTATTAAAATTGTTTTTCTTTAGCCTAATACACGCTAAAGTATATTGAAAGAATTTTTCATAGAACTCCAAATAGTTAAACCTTTACCAGAGTCAAACATTTTAAAAAATATAAATTTTAAATTCATTAGCTCTGCTTTTCATCTATTTATGTATCAAAAGGTTAAAGCACAACTAAAAATTCATGTGCATGTGACAAAAGAATAGGAATAAGACAATAAAAAACCCACCAAATTACTTCATTAAAACACCCATTATGTAACTTGAAGGCAAAAAACCCAACAAGCCAAACCAAAACAACCTAGTTCACTAAACACAGGTGAAGATTCTGCTATTACAAAAAATGCACATATATTCTGATTACATAGCATTTCAAGGTCCTTGTAGTCTTGCATAAACACCAGCCAAGTTAATTCATTGTTTAGGTTTATTGCCAGTAACAATTATTCACATCACATGAAGCTGACTAGATTAGCTGGGGGTTTTGGGGTGGAGTGGTTTTGGTGGATTTGTTTTTCATGGTTGTTTGGGTGGGGGACTGTTTTGTGGGGTTTGTTGGGTTGGTTTTTTTAAACAAACCACAAGGAACATAAAATCTACGAACTGCAGTCCAACTGGGTGCTACATAAATGCTACTCAGAAATCTTTCAATCAATCCATTAATGCACTGTACAGTGTTCTCAGCAAAGATAAGTCATATAATCTCTTGACCCGCTGCTGTAGTTCACGTATTGGGGTAGGGAGGCAAGAAGAGCAAGAAAGGAAATCATCTTTAAGACTGGAAACTTTAGAGAAAGCCAAATATAAAGTATTGTTTATTAAACTTTCCAATAATGAAAAAAGTTAACTTATTGCATCTGATTCAGTAGATGCCTGTTTTTTTTTCAAGAGTAACACTGGATTTACATTCTGCTTATGTATATAAACAAATGAAAGATGTTTCAACCCAGCAGATTTTTTTTCTTTTTTTTAAACAAGTGAAAAACAGAGAATAGAACATAAAAGATGCAAAATAAGACAGTGCCAAAGACCTAAGAGACAAAAAATTATCGCCTGAGTTAGAAAGCTTCTATAGTATTCTAGGTAGGTGAAGAGTTGCATCAGCCTCAAATTAGACGGCTACTCACAGCTCAGCTAAATAGAAGTGAGAAGTTCTTCACATAGCATCATCATTTCAACAAAATACAAGGCAGTAACAAATCAAAAAATAAAAATGTTCCTGAAATTAAATTCTAATTGTTAAATTCTGGTTTATTAAAGGCAAAAATATTTCTGATTACAGAAATTCACAGGAAAGTGAATACAGTCTAACTGGATGCTTGCTACACAGCAGTCAAAATCCTATTTGACAAATTGTTCTAAAACAGCTTAGAACTGACAATTTACTTTCAAACATTTTTTTAAATGAGAACCTCAAATGACAATAAAAGGTATCTATGTAGCTCATTCGGATTTATCCACCAAGTTCATGATTCTGCAGATCCATGAAAGGTATACTTTTAAGTATTCAATTCTTGCCTCATGCTAGTTCTCCCGTGTAACTGAGTTTCAAATCATTCTTTTATAGGAAAAAAATTTCTAAACAAGATCTTACTCTTTCTTTTTTCCTTACCCAATATTCTAGTCCATTTCACTATGGCCGTTCAAAAGTAAACTACAAAGTCTCAATAGTTTCAAAATCTCTCAACAAATTCCTTTCTATTAAAGGTGTATCATGCAGAACTGTTGACATATACATACTAGTACTTAGAAATACCCTATTAACTGCTGTCCACAGTTGAATTATATAGGCTTCATTACTTCAAATTTGTCCATGTCACCACCTCCCTCCCACATGTTTTTAATCTTCTCCTAAAAGTTGCTCTTTAAAAAGCAGAAGCTTAAAAATAGATTAGATCCAACTTTTTTGTGCCTTTTTTTATAGTATTACATTTCCTCCTTTCCATACATAGAATTCCAAATTAAGCTTGTTCTGGTTTAGGTTAGATTTATATTTTCACTCTCAATTAATATTGTAAATTAACTTTTAGGTTTATGCTTCTTTTCCCTTTTAAAATCTTCAGACCTTTGTGAAGCCTTTTAGAGGACTAGTTACTTTTCACTCTTCATATGCCCTGGTATTGTCTGTTAAACCTTGATCATTCCTTGTAGTGCTAAAATTTTTTGCCATTTTCAATAACCTGCATTCTGCGTTGTTATTCCAATGGGTGTTTTTTTGAAAAGCCTTCCTCCATTTGAAGTTAATGTAAGCAAACTTTAGACTATCAAGTACCTTCTACTATGAATTCCAAAGTTAAATGTCAAACATCTAGTAACAGTTGTCATCGATTATCTTACCAAGCCTGGTACCAAAAGCCTTAAATTTAACCATTTTACGACATAAAAGGAATAGTGGCAGGAGGAAAAAGGAAGTGACCTATTCCAGTGTAAATGCCTATCTAACTGCTGAGGGGTTTTGATAGCTGATTTTCACCGAGTTTAACTGGTTCTTGAAAAAGGAGGATTACAGACATTATGAGTCAGCTTTAATCAGTTAAACAACTAACCTTTAGCTCTGTTTGCAGTTGGTCACATCTCTGCTTTTCATGGTGAAGTTCATTTTCCAGTCTTTCAACTTGATCTCTGAGTTGTGCCGTTTCCTTTTCCAGAACCGAAGTTACCTTTAATAGCTCTTCTTTTTCTTTTATTATTTTTTCAATTTTAAACTGTAAAAACAAAAACATTCTTTTTTGGTAATTTTTCTCCTCTTCATTCCTATCAAATAAATAGATAACAAATTGCTCCAGTGTTTGAGCACAAGCACAAAATGTGTCCCCTCTGGCTTGCGTGATTTTACAGTTCTCCCCTTATTCTCAGATTTCTGAAGTTTCATTGCCTTAACTGAATAGTACTGTATTACTATTAGACAGCACACTTTGCAGTGTTTTGATTTATACACAAGTTTTCCCTTCTTAAGTGAAGTGCGTTTACTGTTCCCAAGTGACAGCAACTATGGAGGAGCTAATTACGATGACGACAGCTTGGTGAAAAAATGGCTGCTGAGTGTAGAGTCACATACACTCCAAAGCAACATTTGAGGAATTTCACCAAAAAAACGAACACACACATAGCCAACAGTAAGGACCGGTACATGAACTGCGCCCTTTCAGTACTTAAAGGAAGCTTACAAGAAAGATGGGGACAGACTTTTAGTAGGGCCTATTGCGATAGGACAAGTGGTAATGGTTTGAAACTAAAAGAGGGTAGATTTAGACTGGATCCAAGGAAGAAATTTTGAGGATAGTGAAACACTAGAACAGGTTGCCCAGAGAGGTGGTAGATGCTCCATGCCAGGAAACATTCAAGGTCAGGTTGGACAGGGCTTTGAGCAACCCGATCTAGTGGAAGATTTCTCTGCTCATTGCAAGATGGTAGGACTAGATCACCTCTACAGGTCCCTTCCAACCCTAACTACTCTATGATTCTATGAACCAAGATAATCAAAAAGGTTTGAAAAAATATTTTCGCTTCATTTTAGTATGAGTACATATCTGAAAGGCAAAAATATCCCAGATGTATCTCAGTACTAAGTCTCTTATCCCTAAATTTTGAAAACTGTAAATCGAATACATGCATGCATGTGCCTAGACGCAACTGACAAAAGGATAAAACATCTGATGGCAAGGTAAGGAAACTGAACCGAGCACTTTTCCAATAAGCAACTCCTACAATCAAGTTGTTTTGATTTTTCTTTTTGTCTGAGCTTTTGGGGGTTTTTTATTTTTTTAAACTAGTTTTCCATCTACAAAATATCAGCAAGCAAACAGAAAATTCTTGACTCTGGATGTAAGCATACAAGTCTAACCACATCCATCTAGCACAGAACGTGACATGCAGAACACAGCTTTAAACAAAACAAGAGCTATTCTAATGTATTTAGGCACCTGCAATTATTCAGCTTAGTTTCCAGGACTCCTAATGTGTGCACAAATAAAAGTACATTGGTTCCTTAATTTTTTTTTCCTCCTTACAACAAGTATCATTTGACACAAAGGGTATCTTCCTCCCTCCAGTTAGCTGGAGAGCACAGATGCGAGAAATGGGCAACCGTCTACTCTCGTATGGTTTCCCAGTCTATGTTTAGTGCTATACCATATCTGTAACCAGTTTGAAGTCTTTATGCCTTTAACCTGTAAATGTTCTGAACTCCAGTCAAACACTGGAGAACAAGTCAGAAATACATACATTACACATATGCAGGTTTTTTCCTCCTGGTTTGTTCTTCAATACTGTATCCTGTGAGTGTATTTATATGTGTACATATATAAAAGAAAAAGATGATAACATTTTAAGAACTGTTGAATCAAACCTCAAGAAGTCCAGCTTTTGTGGTCACCACTAACATATCAGAGTTTCCTTCATCTTCCATGGTGAGCAATTCTTCAACAGGGGAAGAGGTACGAAACTGGAAAGGTGTGCTCGCTCCACGGATTTCTCCTTTATGAGTCACGTAACAGAACTGGTAAAACTCTCCGTCATCATTTGGTAGATAATATCCTATCAATATAAATTCATATTTGAAGACACATTCTACACAAACTTACAATTCTGTATCTAGAAACAGATTATCAGATCATGTTTGACTTCCAAATTTCATGCTCATTACCTCAGTAAGGCACAGATAAATTATCAAAACAGCAGAAAGGAAAAGTCATCCATTTAGTAACTTCTATCCCCCACCAATTTCTCCTTGCTTTTAAGACAAGCACCAAAATAGTGTCAGGTAATAGGTGCTATATGTACACATCACCCTACATATATTAGGTAACAGCTGTTGTTTACGTATTTATGAAACACATAGAATCATTAGCAATAAGATGTCCTAAAGCTGCATCAAGACCACATTATTATGTAACTGTTGTACAATCACAGAACAAAGAGTAAGCAATTTTTTGGCCTTGGAATACCCATACGACCAAAGACAACAGGCAAAGGCAGAATAACATGTAATGACAAGACATCTGCAGCTTTACCAGTTTCAATTTTTTGTCTGTTTTTTGTGGAGTAACCACAAATTACTTTTGTGATTTTTAATTGGCAAAGCATAGGAATGCTCTGAATGGATGACACAACGTTAACAAGCTGCCGAGGGGTGGGGAGGGGAGGTGTGTTAAAGACGACCTTATCTTCCTAAATTGAAAAAAAAAATTCTTATAAACTTGGCAAGGTCAGAATAAATCATCTGCCTTCTAGCTATGTAATACTGCATGCTGCTAGCAAATTATTTCAAATGAACTTCTGTATGACTGTTCTGCTGAACTGCTGCCCACTAAAGCTTTAACATCGTCTCTTACATCACCTGGATTCACACAGTAATCTTTGTGGATATTAAACAATCATCTCCAGCCCTAATGAGATTTTTTACCTTTATTAGTAAATACAAGAAACCACGCCTTACCCAGTTTAATGGTAAGAAAACCAACTGGGTTTATTCAGGACACTTAATTATCAGATACCCTAGCCAGCTTGAGTATGATACTAGCATAATAAATCCTCAGTTAATGCTCAATCCAGCAGGTGAGGTCACCAATTTCTGTTCATATTTCACTACAATTCAATCTACTCCCTTTCTAATTTTATCATTAATTTCTATTCACCGACTTTGATTCCAGATTCCTGGAAGACTTTTCCCAGTACTCTTATCTACTTTTCCTACAAATGGTAAAACGTTACATGTGCTACAGGTATAGCACTTGTATCAAGTACTTCATGTTTCCATTAGTCTTATACTTTATTAACTGTAGCTCACGGAATAGTATCTTAATTTCAAAACCTCAGGATTCTGTGCTTTTGGATCTGACTACACTGTCCTATATAGTGCTGCAGTTCAGTTTACCTGATTCAACACTTAAATAACGTGACACTATTCAGAAACTAATTCAGAACAATCTACTCTGCAGCTCCAGCAAGTTTTAATACTGGTTCAGACAAACTGATTTTAAAACTACTTAAAGTTATTTTTCATGTATCTAACATGTACCGGAGAGAAGAGATTCCTGATTATTTTCTTCCAGCACATCTACTTGATCATCAAAAAAAGAAAAATACAATTAAAGTATGCTGGACAACATTTACTATTTCTCTCAATTAATAAGCTCCTGTAAGCTCTACTGATCTCATCTCAGCAGCACTAAAATATCTTGTCAAATACAACTGGGAGACTGTCTGAACGGAGATTAAATCTGGAAGCTCTATAAAAAGTGGTGGACTGTCAGCATGGAATGTAACAGATGGGACAGAGTTACCTGGTCTCTTCATGTGTGGTAAAACTTCTAAGTACAAAGGACTGATAACGGCACGTCCTAGGTTTCTAGGTCACTTTTAGTTTCAGTCTAACTCAATTTCATTCATTCAGTGAATTTTGGTAACTGTAAAAGAAACTAATGACTTCCTTCCAGTTCCTACAGAGCACACATACTTTTCACAGATTTCAAAGTTATAAAATAGTCAGATCACATGGATATGATCATCATCAAACGTACCAGAAAAAATGACTTGGAGTAAGAGAAAGAGCAGTGAACGCATCCAAGTTATCACTGTTTGCAGCTTTAACACGACAACAAGCTAACACAGTAGTCATTTCAGGACTTCAGTTATTAATTTTCTATATATTTAAGCAATAACACACACACACACACAAATACTAAAGCCAACTCTGGGAAGTAAAAAAGAATATAAGATGATACATAAAATTCTGCTAGTAAGCAGAAAAGCATTAAACAAATTTAATGGAGGTGTTCTTTTTTCATGCAACTTTGAATGCCTGTAGATTTTTTTATATTTGTAATGTCCTGTGGCAAAAAGTTCTCCATATTGACTGTGTTACACAAGTATAATCTCTATCTCCATTCTGAACCTGTCACTTGGTAACTAAAAATCGACGGTTCCTACTTCTTTAAATATGAACAATGGATAATCCCCTCATGCCATGGGTGGCTGATTTTAGAGACATCTGCCACCTCCCATTATTTCCCTTTCCCAGGCTGAAAAACCTGGCAGAAGGAAGTTCTGAAGGTCACCTAGTCCAAATTCCCACTCAAGAGACTGTTGTCAGCACCAGTCTGAGACTGCCATGGCTGTGTATAACCAAGTGTGTGGAATTCCCATCCTTCCAAACCAGGGATACCCGTTCAAGTGCTGCACTAGTCCTTCTTGGTAAAAAAGTTCTTCCTAATGTCAGATGTAAACCTCCCAGGCCACAATCCATGATCATTGTCCCTTTTTATATTTAACGAGAAGAGTGTGGCTCTGTCTTCTTTGTAAGTCCACACCTTTACACAGAAGCTATTTCTTAATTTTGATCTTCCTTGTTGCACTTTGTTTGTGCTACTAGATCTATTTCTGAGATTGGGAAGGGGAGAGAGAGGATCTGATCTCCACACAGTGTTGAAAATGCTATAGATTTGTTAGAAAATGCTGATGAAAATACTATAGATATGTACAGTGATGTAACATTTTCTGGTTTGTTCCTTCTTCTTTTCTTAAAAACCTGAGTAATTTTCATCAGTTCCTCACTGTCAAAAGGTTCTGTGCCACTCTGACAACTCTGAACCTTCACCAAACCATCACCTTCATTATTTACTCCTTCACAAGAAACACTTTACATTGAGAATGACCTCTCAAGTCCAGAGACTAAAGACAATGTGAAGACACAATGCGCTGAGGTGCCAAGATTAAAAGACCCTGCGATGATTAAACAGTCATTCTTTGTATCTGTTTCCAGCAGACCTTCTATCAGTCATGAATATTGTCCATTACTATGTCATTACTAAGTTACATACTTCCCTTTACAATTTCGTTGACATTTAAAATAAAACTGAACTTCACACAGTGAAGTGTCGAAAATTCTCCTCCAGTTTATATTTGTAAAGGTCTAAAACTATTATACAACCCCTCAGCATTTTAATGAACAGGTAAGTATTTTTAAAGTTGTGTAGGCTAGAAAATACAGGTAGGTACTGCTTTATATTCACCTTGAAAAGTCAGCACACAGTTAACAGTTGATCCTTCCACATAATTCTCTGGCATAGGTGACCAAAGAAATGTGTAATAATCTCTTGCAGTACTCCAACCAACCTAAAATAAAATGAACCGCAACAAAAAAGAAAGAGAAAACATTAGCAGAAGAATTTGTTATACATAGTTAAGATATCGTGGTCTGGCCTTTACAACATACTGTAATACACATATTTCTGCTTCAACATGCCATAAAAAGATACTTAACAATGTTTACAAATCAGGAATATTTTAACAAGCATGTCAAAGATTTAGCATGAATTTTATTAAGCTTGTTACCTAAAGCAATAAACAGCTCTAAGGCAATAAAAGGGCCTATATAAATTAAAACACCAGTTAGTTTTCACTATACATTCAACTAGTATTTGGCACTTAGTTTTTTTAAATAGATACACATTAGTATATTAAAGGTAAAAAAAGATTAATTCTGAAGTTTATAGTGAGATTTTCTTAGTGTAAGTTCTGCTAATGCTGACTATTTTGTGTCCACAGTCCAACAGGTTCATCAGAAAACAAAAAGGAGGAAAGAAAAGATAGCGCGCTCTTCTGCTGAAAAGGTCAAATTCGACAGGGCTGAACTAGCACTTTTTGGACAACTTCTACAATACTGAAGACCAGCATTTCTTCCACATGCTATGTCTGCAAGGAAAAAACGTTGCACGAAAACCTAACTCCGCTAAGTTGGTATAGTCTTCCCACTAACTTCAATAAATATCTGCTTTCAGACTTTTCATAAGAGTGCAGGTCTGCACAGTAAGAAATGCTATCCTCTGAAAAACATAGTCCAACAAGCTTGAAATATATGCATCTAAACCCCAAACCCAAAGAAACTACTGTAAAGCAATGGATATTAATAACAGCATAATGGTGAACAAGAAGAATAAATACATGTTTTATTCCACTGACTTAAAAAAAAAAAAAAACAAAACCAAAAACCTTGTCACAAGCTAGGTGTAGTATGATTTATCAGTAACTGGGTATACCGTCTTGGAAGAATTAAGAAGTGAAAAGAGGATAAATTGTCTACCAATTTCTATTGGGCAAGACAGCATTTCAAGAGGGAGAAGAACAAAAAGAAGAAATTACCCACAATAAAGCCCAACAACCAAAACTAGATGAAGTTACCAATCATGATTTCTATTAGTTCAGTAGACAAGACTTCTAAGCTTCAAGTTCATACCCAATCCTCCTTTATAAAGGATATATTGAACAGTATTTTAAAAGCCTTAAGAACTGGTTTTAAGGCATTGTCAGCTTAAAAAAGAAAAAAGATATTTAGACAGACAATGAGAACAACAGAACTAAAAGTAATTCAACAGCAATTACATACATATACAGGTATACACGTCACATGCAAAAATTAGTAATTAGCATTAGTAAAAAGAATTCTGAAGATATTATTCCATAGCTCCCCATTACATTTCTTCAGCTGGTATTAAAAAGTGTGGGAATAGCTATGTTTAGGGAAAAAAAAAGAACTGGTTTGAGATGACCAGGCTTTTCTAATATTCTTAAAAAACAAGGATGAACGACAGCAAAACAAGATGAAATTTTCATTTCGCTAACTTGTTTAAGGCAACATTCATCGGAAAGAAGCAGTGCAAAATCCTGTCTTATACACCAGAATGAAATCACCTGCTACATCTTAAGCCTGTTCTTAGCCAAAACACTGAAGATTTCTGTGACACCTCCTATCAAGGAGCTTTTAAAGAGGTGAATTTCCTGGGGTTGTTATTCCCACACTGTTAAGTATCTCAGAAATAACAAGGAAAGCTCCTCCAGTTAACTTGCGGGGGGGTGGTGGGGGGTGGTGTGCTGAAAGCAATTTTTCCTCCATAAAAATTCACAGGGAAAACATTTTGCAAATTTTCACATTAGCCATGTCTTCAAATCCAACTCGGATATTCATACCCCTTTTTTGCTGAACCTGATTCTACCTCAGAAAAGGGGAGCATATACCATTACTTGCTGCCCCAAAATAAACAAAGCAGATAGCTTTTTAAATATAGTTCTCAATGAGTGAAAAGTCCCCATCTTGTTCTTTTTAATCTCAGAAGGGAAAATGCATTATTATATCCAGAAGAAATACTGCCTAGAACTGAAGCAATCTTTTCATCCTACTGTAGTGTTCATTTCCGTTTTAAAAAAAACCACTACACACACTCCAATTCTGATGCTACTTTCCTGTGTAAAATAACATCCTTGCTTTTAATAATTAACACTTTAGAAAACAGAGAGGGGGAGTAAAATCCTGTGAATATAAAACCAAAAATGGTCCCTCTAGGAGAACAACTCAACTTCTCATTCAAGTTTTCTCTGGGATTGTAATATTTTTTTTTTTTAGGTATCACATATTGATCTGTAAATTTAATAATCTACTCTGAACCCAAAAGTTATTTTTATGAATACTTTGTCTGTAACAGTAACCCACATGAAGATTATTTTTTTTTTTAAGATCATTTAAAACTTTAGTCAGACTGATAAAAACAGAAAGCATAATTATGTAGAGAACAACTAACTCTCCTGGCCTGTTTCTCGGCAGGTGCCATATTTTCAAGTGTGACACTAATCTGTGGGCTACTGGTAAAAAGAGAACTGTGACACATCAACAGCCAGTGGGTGATACGCCGGGAAGTTTACCCTGCACATATTTTCACCAGTAATTCCCCGTCTCCTGTCACCCATCATCTGCTTCCCCTACCAAAGCTCCTCATCTTACACTCGTACAATTGTGAGCATAGGACCTCAGCAGAGGACAATCTTCCCTGCTACAGGCTGCACACATCAAAACACGACAATGCAGAGAAGGAAATACAAACAAATCTCATCTTCCTCACAGAAGCATACATTTAAAAAGGGGAACTTTGTGTATTCTGCAGCAAAGCAAGTTAACTTAGTAACATTATTCAACGTTTTTCCTACTTAACAATGATTATCATTAACTTCCATAGGATTATTTCTTAGATGACAGAAACAAGGAGCAAAACCAAAGCAATAATATGCTGAGAAGAAAATAAATACAAAATGAAGTAACAGATGTTTTAGGTCTAGGATTTAGATCTTTAAAAAAAAAAAATCTATCAACAGGTTTTAATGAAACTTTTATTTTAGTACTTCATATATTTCAAGAATATTCTCTTTAATAAACCTAGTATGAAGTACACTGTGGTTCAGAAATACAAAACACTCCTACAGAGTCATAACCTTCTCTATGGCAACAGATTATATTGTCACATATATAAGACTATAAACACATACTGGATGGCTCAGCAATGGTCTAAATGTGACCTCTGACAAAGATCTTTCTTTCAGCTCAGAAACAAAACCAGTAGTTGCCTAAAAATAGGGTTACAACTATATAAAGAAATTTCAAGATTGCTTAAGGGAAATGAAATAAAAGCTGAGATAAACTAAAAATAGTGGCAAAAGCTACAGAGGAAATCAACAAAGAGTGAAAATGATGAAGAGGAAGATGGGAATACTTGTCAACAAACCCACAGTGATTTTATATTAAAACCAAAACAAAACACTGTAGCTCTGGAAGCAAAATGAACAGCATCCTCATCATCACAAGGAATACTAGCTTCGAAAAAATATTTTAATTTTAATGACAGGAACCAGAAAAGCAGGACTGTTTCTCCAACTGTTGATCAAAGCAACAAAACTTACTGCAATTAATATAGACTGTCTTCCAGGTTAGTCTCTGGAGGCAGAGAAAAGTCCAGATCCCCCACAAGAACCCAATTGTTGTGAAGACCTTACCTGGACTACACTACAGGATAAAAATTGCTATTTAAGGCAAATGTCCATGTAAGGTGGTTTTATTGTCTTTTTTGTTGGTTTTTTGTTGTTTCTCTGTTGGGTTTTTTTGTTTGTTTTTAATTAAAACCATTACAGCAACTGACCAACGCAATTCTTCTCGGGACATACTAAAAAAGGGCAAGTTAAAGCTTTTCTTGTAAATGTACGAATTTGTGCCTTGTGCATCTTCCTGGTAGTAGTGTAAGATCCAAGAAATCAGATGATTCAACAGGTAGGTGTTGTTCAATATTAGTTAGCATGGGGCAAATAGTATCAATCAGTACTGTGCACTAGAGAAGACCTGAGAACATTTTAAAAAAATAAATGTATTTACTTCTTGCATACCGATAGTTTCCTAAATGCCACTTTCTGTAAAAGCTGTAGAATCTGAAGGTAGCAATACCTGAGCACAGACTAAAAAGAGTTCCCTGGCCAGCACATGCCTTAATTACATACCCTGAAAACTCAAAAATAAGTTTTGTTAAGTTAAAAGCAGATAAATTAACCCTGGTCTTTCCTTTTCAGAAATACTTTCTCCATAGAACGATGTTCAAATAGCAGAGAAAGGATAACTTGCCACCTCACAAAACCTTTTGCACGTGATGCTCCAGTTCTTAGGGTGATGAAGCTCCTTTGAACCCACTGCACTTCCACTGAAACAGCAGGAACACCGAATCTACTCTGAAAAAAATCCAATCCTCAATCTATTTTGATTATTCATATCTCCAAGCTTATCTATGCAGAAGTCTCCAGGAAAATCCCAGAACAGTAACAGAGTAGAAGAAAAATTTCAAACACAGACTTTTATGTTAGAACAGGAAATTACTCTAACAAGTAGCGGCACAGTTCTCCAATACTTGAGAAGCCCTCAGCACGGAAATAGAAAGAAGCAGGGCTGCTTCTTTAGTTTGTGTTCAGACCCTCTCTAGTACTCCACTGGCAAATGAATGCACGTTAAAAAGTAAATGCAGACACACTTTAAATACTCGATAGAACTTTTATCACAAATCTGTATCTATTAGCCTCTCCTTCTTCACATAACTCAAATTCTAGTTGCCTCAAAGTTTGAAACATTTTAAAAACCTGAAACTTTTACACCAAAGTAGAAAATGAAGTATTAATTTACTAGCATCCTGAAGTATTACTTCTATTCAAAAAATAAGTAAATGGAAAAATAACTGCACTGGCACAATGCATCGGAAAACAAAGAGCAGTCTTTTACTGTTATCAGAGAAAAATCTTCAGGCCTGTGAGAAGAA